AACGCTAAATTTAGTCTGTTCTGTTTCCGTCATCAAGGACAGCTTTTTTGGTATGCTTTCTTACAAAATGTTTGACCTTGGGAGATTGCTGCCAGAAAGGAAGACACTTCAAAAGCTGACAGCTGATTGTTGGAGGTTTGTAAACTCTGTTGTGTGGGCTCAGTAGAAGTCCACAAAGGCATAAAGACTCACTCTGGCTTAGTACCCTGTGAAGCTGGTGAACTGTAATGTGTCTGGATAAGTTGCTGACAACAAAATGATCCTTGCTTTTTCTCTGTTTTTAACCTCAGCTGTGTGGAAACTGAGGTCTTCATGGCTTCTTTAGGGTGAGAGACAACGCTGATACACACAGGAGTTGCCATGAGTAGAGTCAAAAGGGGCTGTTGCAAAATTTCCTCACAAGTAAGTTAAGAGGAGGTGGAATTCAGAGGACTGGAAAGAAGATGAAGAACTGTGCAGGAAAGGATGGCTGCCCAGCATATGGGATGTTATCAGCCACAGCATCACTGTTATTCACTCTGGGTATTGTGGCTGGTTGCAACGTAGACTGGTTGTTTTTCCATAATGGTCTGGGAATAAGGAGTAAGGAATGCTTTTTTATTCAGCCAAAAAAAAGCTTTGTGAATAGGGAAATCACGTGTTATGTTCCTGGCGGTATTTATTAATGATAAGCTAATGAAACAGCACTGCAGAGAATACTGGTGTACAGATTTAAAAGGGAAGGCACAAAAAGCATGAGCTGAAAGCATTGATTAATAGAGGCTGCAGCTTTATTAAAAAGGCTTTCCTAGCAGAGAGCCATCTTTACCTGCCTTCCAGTTCTGGCTCAGCCTGGATTTGAGTGGTAAACAGCATAAGGATGCAATAGCAAAGTTTCAGAGACATGCGTTGCTGAGATTGGCTTCCGAGTTCCAGCTGGTGGCAGGGCTGAAGCTGTCCCTCTCCGTTGTACCAGTGGGCTGAGCAGTCAGACGAGGGAAGCCACGTGGAGATGTACCCCTTCGTGTTTTATTTCCATGGTCTGGGCTGGCATCCAGGGCAGCCCACTGAATTACAGGGACCTTAGGATGAACCCTTTCTAAGCCACCAAGTGTTCTGAAAGCTGCCAAACTCTCAGCAACAGTTTAGACTCCTAAACCAAAATGAAGTTTGCAAAACCAACACAGACGCTTTTGGGAGCCAGACAGGAAAAGCCTGCTTCAGATGCCCAAACTAGCAATCCTCTGAGCCCACACCACCACAAGAAACCCAGTTCACTAGATGAGAATGGAAAGACAGAACTAGAGAGACAGAAGAAATGAACACAGAACTATTTGTTTCTCTTCCAGTTGAGCTGACAGAATGGCTGAAGGTACACTGAATATCACAGCCATAGCTTTATTATCTTCTCAGTTAGAAAAGATGTACTTCCATTAAATAAAACTAACAACAACATTCATTGTCTAGGGAAATGAACAGTTATTTCTAGTTAATAACATTAGTGGGAGGGGCTAAGAAGTAGTGTTTTGAGAATTCAGCCATTCCTTTTGGCTTCCTTGCTGCTCTTCCCTTAGTTCCTCATTCTGGAATATCTGTTATCATTGGGAAAAGTTTACTTATACCATCCATTTTCAGAAAATAGTGATAAAATTAGTGTTCAAAGTTTTGATTCACATACTGATAAAGTAGAGTTTTGGCAGCTTAGATAAAATCTGAGGTCATGGAGGAACATCTGTATACCACTTGTCGCTCATTGTAAGGGAATGTGAGTTGTTAGGGTAGATCTCTTTGTTTACCACCTGCAGAAGAAAGTACAGCACTTGCTTACAATTTTTATCTTAAATATGAGACATACAAGCCTGTTTTGATAAGGATCCTGCTGTCTTTTGCAGTGTCAGCTGACATCAGTCACATCCTGAATTTACCAAAGAAAAAGGCATCCTTAGTCTTAGAGGTTTGTCAAGGAAAGGCAGCTATGAAAGGGCATACCAGTTGTCATCCTGTTTGGAGAAATTAATGAAGGGATTGTCATGGTTTTGAGCTTAGTTTCACTACTGAAGACTAAAATAATAATATCAACTGTGTAACCATAGTACACAGAGTCTGTGTGGCCCCTCCAGCAGCTCTGGACAAGACGAGTGTACCAAGGGAAAGATATATGGAATATAAGGAATGTGCAAACATAAGTAAATGTAGAAGAACTGCTTAAAGAGAAAGTGATTTGCATGATAGTCTGAAGTTATGTGTTACTTTTTTTCTGAATTCCCAAAGGAGTAGGTGTAATTACTGTAGTGAAACAAAGGCCTGTTCTTAGAACAACCTAGGAAAATCTGTAAGTCGTGACCTGCGCTTTGTCTCAAAGACCATTAGCTCTATCCACGGAACAAATACTTTGTGTGGTATCAGCTACAGGAGGCTTTGGGGTTCTTTACTCTTCTTGTGAGGGACCTAGTGCTGCTTGCTGCAAAGGCAGGTGGGGGCAGATGCACTCAGTTTGGCAATAGACTGCTTTTGAGGTCTGTGTGGATCCCTTGTGTCCAGTCCCTTGTTGCAGCGGGTCAACCTGATATCTGCCTCTGGCACCCAGAGAAAACCTGGAAGTAAGGCAGTAGGATTTCTTGCATGGTGGGTTTATCTACACTGTGGATAGAGCTGGCAATTCATGCTGCTTCTAGATGGCACTTGTGTGGCCATGTGCATGAGGGGATCCCTCATCTCTCTTGTGTGAGCTGATGCCATTTATCCCACTTCTCTCAAACATTTAAGATAGGAGATGCTACCTTTGGCCTTATGAGGGTTCAGGTGTAGCCTGTGCAGGGTGTCCCTCTCCACTTTGTCCTTACTCTGGTACCTGTCTGTTCAGTCAGCAGAACCAGTCTGTCTGCCCAAGTGTATATAGATGAGACTTGTCAAGATTTGACAAATTAACTTCTTGTGCCACGCATGTTTATGGCTTTGTCTTTATGATGGCATGGTGGGGATCTCATTATGGACAATAGCCAGGATAAGGTGTTTCAGAGGAAGTTAGCAGGAATCATCACCTGGCAATTTACAGGCATGTTTGCCTTCTTGAGGAAGGGCTTTACATAGCCTTGTCACTCACGGTTGGTTATGTGCTTTGAAAAGTAACCTGTTCTTCACTATGTGTTCTTTTTAGCAGAATTTCCCATTGTCTTTATGAAAAGGGATATTTTGCTTTTGTTACTTATATTACAACAGAATAGCAGGATCCAGGGTCCAAGTGAATCCATTATTTAGATAGTAGTCTCTTTATTTTAAATAGATTTGTCTATGAATAGAGGAAGAGAACATTCCAGAGATGTTCTTGCTTTCAAATGTGGGGAAATGTCAGATCCAAGAATCATCTAAATCGGCTAAATAGATGAGATCTACTAGAACATCTCATCTTTCAGCATGCCAGGAATAATATCCAGTTAGGCCCTTATTACTGCAGTTTTCAATGTAAGTGTTTGTATTTTTCTTTTTCAATAGAATTTCATTCTCTGTTGAAGCTTGACTCCGACTCAAAACAAGGAGGACTTTCCTTGAAGATACTTAATATAGTTGATTATAAAAACCCCAGAGGGAATTCATAGCTTGGTTGATTGTTAGTGTATTGACAGTAGATGCATTAAAATACTTCTAGCTTAAATATTTCTGACTTAATATTTTTAGATGCTTAGTAAATACTATAATCTAGAGGTGAAGTTAATGCATTTAGAGCTGCTTAAGTCTGTATAGGGAGTAATTGTTTTGGGTCAAGTGAGGTTTGAAGGAGCAGTGTTCTGTGTTGAGGTTAGGGTTTGGTACTGCACTGTGTGAATGCCTGTCTGTAGAGAAGCTCTGCAGTGCAGTGCCATGGAGTTCCTTAGCTAAGGAGCTGAGAGATGTGCTTTGTCTTATGACCAGGTTATCGATGGGCATTTCCATCCTTGCTCTGCCTGGTGAAAATGACTTGAAAAAACGTTGTTAAAGACTGGTTATTAATGGTGTACTGTCAAAATTGAAAGATATATCAAATGAACTTCTCTAGGGATCTGTCTTTGGTCTAGCATTATTCAAAAATTCTATTAAGCTCTTTGATGACAGAAATAAGGGAAAACTATAAAAATAGCAGATGGCACCACCACTCTAGAATAAATTGAGGCCGACCAGCTTTGAAAGAATTAATCTAAAGCATAAAATTATTTTGTGAAGTCAGGACAATTGTTCTGAATTAGTATGGAAATAATAATAATAACAATGGGGAAGGCTATCTAATGGGCAAGTTCAGAATAATGAATTGCTGCAACCATTCCTCGCTCTGACAGGACAATCATATAAATGCGTGCCTCTGTACTGACATTTAAGTTCATTATCAATGGCCATTCAGAGTGCAGAAGTCAAATATAGAACTGAAGGACTGAGGGTAGCATAAGTCTTCTGAAAAGTATTGTGGACAAAACTTCAAAGATCACTGTAAAGACAAAACAAGTACTAAGGCTTGTCCTTTTAAAGCAGATGTGACAGAAAGCAGCAGCCACGTCTGCCTAGTCTAGAAGAAGGTACACAACTGGGGGGAAATTGTGGTCTTTGAGCATGCAGAAAGTTGTTTGAGGAGTGGTGGTAACCATTTTTTCTTCATGTCTGAGTGATGATGACACAAGAGAGTAGTGCTGTGGTTTAAAATTAGATGTTGGAAAAAAATGTTCTGTCAATACAAGTAGTTACTACTGCTGAAGAAACGAAAATTTTGGTCATTGGTGACTTTGCATAGTGCAATGAACCAGGGTGATTTTGTACTGTTAGTCATGACACTTTCTAAGAAATGGGAGTAGAATTTTTTTTTTCATATTCTGTTCAAACAGAACACATCTGTGCTTTCTAATGTGATTCGTACTTTAAAATTATGAGCTGACCCAAGAAAAGAAAACGAGTCCTGTGGATTTCACGATCAAGTTGTGTGGTGTGCATTAGCAACTGGGTGTGCAAGTCATCTTCAACCACACGTGTAACTGTGTCCCTTTGTTCTTCCTCAACAGTCTCCAAACGTCCACAACTACCCAGATATGGATGCTGTACCTTTGTTACTAAACAACATGAAGGCCGACCCCACGGAGGATTCATTATCTACAGATCATTTCCAAACACAGACTGAACCAGTGGACTTGTCAATAAACAAAGCCAGGTCGTCCCCTACAGCAGCTTCATCGTCACCAGTTTCCATGACAGCATCAGCCTCCTCCCCTTCTTCTACTTCGACTTCTTCTTCTTCCAGTCGGCCTGCTTCATCCCCCACAGTAATAACATCAGTCTCCTCAGCAGCATCTGTACCATCAGTATTAACTCCAGGTCCTCTTGTGGCCTCTGCATCTGGTGTTGGAGGCCAGCAGTTTTTGCACATTATCCATCCAGTACCACCTTCAAGTCCCATGAACTTGCAGTCCAACAAAATGAGTCATGTGCACCGTATCCCTGTGGTGGTACAGTCGGTACCTGTAGTCTATACAGCTGTGAGATCACCTGGGAATATGAACAACACTATAGTAGTACCATTGCTGGAGGATGGGAGAAGCCATGTCAAAGGTAAGGTGGAGCCAGTTTTGTGCATCTGTTCCATCTCTGAACCTGGTCTTGTATGAGAAAAACATGCCAATGATTGCAAAGTTGTTAGTTTCCATACTTGCTGTGTTGTTGCTGAAAAGATATACAACTTCCTTGGGAGGAACCTTTAAAAAGTCTTATCCCAGACGATCTTTAAAGTAAGCAAGATTTTAGATGAAGACTGAGTTCAGCAGTGGTGTTAGATGCTGGGACAGCTTGTGGCAGGTTTTGTCCTGAGAGAAATAAGTCCTCCCCAGAAGCTGGAGAAGTAGGTGAATGGAACAAATGTCAGTGTATTACATTTATGACAGTATATAAAACATCAGAGATGAACATGGAAAACTCACCAGGTGTTTCAGATTTAGCAAGGGGAGGAATGTCAGAGGGATTGTTCCTCAGCAAAGAGAAAGCAATCATTGGGTTCTAGGAATGTGTGGAGGAAAGGCTTGTGGACCAAAGAGCATTAGCAGATGAAGAGAAGTAGGTTTTATTAAGCTTAAGGAGTGGCAGTGCAGTACTTTGAATTAGGTTTCTTCTTCCAGATTAAACAGCAGAAGGGAAGGAAGCCACCCAGAGTGTTTATGTTGGGAATGAGTTCTGCAGACACAGGACCCGAGAGAGGCACATGGAGGCGTGAAGGGAGGAAGAGGCACATGTCAGAAGGACAGATACACACTTGAGGTGTCCAAAGAACACAGAAAGGAAAGCTGGGAAGCGAGAGAGTGAGAACCCAACAGTTACTGAGGGAGCAAAAACTTGTTAGGGATAGTGAGATGATGGTTGGAGGAAGAAAGGAAAAAACAGATGTGTCCAGAAACTTGGAAAGCACAGCTTTATAAAGGGGGCATTAGTGACAGAGATGGGAATATGAGGAGAGGAATGAGATACTCATTTCAAGGCTCATTGCATGTGACTGAATAAAATACGGTAATTTCCCCCTGAAATGAGGTATTCCTTGAGGCAGAAAGGGAGGATATTGACAGATAACCTTTGGGGCTTATGAGACTACAGGACATTTAGCATCTCTTGTGTTCCTTATTGCATAGTGAACAGGTCTCAACAACTTGTTTCTCAACTCTTTTGTCTGTTTTTGATAAACTGGCAACTGTGTGTAGTAAGACAGAGGACTGCAGTGATGGGGCATTCAGATGTTTAGGGGCATCCTGTTATGTCTATTAGTCTGTGATTCTCCTACTGTTCCCTCGTACCCAAGGGGACTGTGCCCTCTCAATAGGCTTGGACACAGGAAATGAACTCACTCTTGGTCTGAGTGTAGTTTTAAACCTCAAAAAGATGGTTTAAGTTTTATTACACTTCGTACAGTGATGTAATTTTAGCCCTTTGTGCCTTTATGTAAAGAAATTATGAATAAAACCAGAACTTCGTGACATGTAGCCTAAGAAAAAAACCCCAAACAAATAGAAAAAGGAAAGTTTTAGTCTTTATTATGATTTTGAAGTTTCAAGGTGCACCTAACCATGAGCTCATCGAGAAACTTTCCTGTTTGTTTTCTTTTCAAAGGTGCTAGTTGGCTGTGGTAGTAGTCTCCTCTATAGGAAGCACCTTGTGATCTTGCAAAACTGGCACTTTGCTACCCCAGTTTCATCAACAAAATTCCAGAATTTAATGTGCTATAGGGATTTCAGCCCATGAACTCCATGCATTCTGACCTGCCCTGACAATATGGCCTTGGCAGAGGTCATTAGCTATTAGCCCCTGCATCATCTATTAATGCACAGTTAAAGAAAAGGAAGGGATTAACAGTTCTTCAATTTATTAATTTTCCTCTCACGAGTTGTACGCATTTTGTTGTTGCTAATTCTTTTGGTTTAAAAGTTCAGGTTAATTTGAATAAATACAATAGAAGTAAATTGGGCAGCAATCCACTCTAGGTAGTAATCTTTTATCAGCTTTTGCTGGAGTGTTTTTCATTCTTTAGTGCAAAACAATATAAATAATTAAATGCAGTGATATCGCACAAATTAACCAGTTAAATGATTTTCATATGTGTGCAGGCTAAATTCCCTTCAGTGATCAGCTCTTGTGCTGATAATAAAAAATAAATGTACATCGATCCTAACAGGACATTGTTGTCAAATTTAATTAGTTCCTAAGCCTCTACCAGCTGATAGACAAATGCAGGTTTGGAGTCATCTAGAGTCACAGCTTTCAACTTCTACATGAATGCTGATAATTTTCAGAAATAGAAAAATATGTACACTGAAACAGTTGTTTCACAGAAAGCATCAGCAGCATAATGCCAGTGTTATTCTTGTACTGGTGCTAATTCAGAAATCATGTTGATGATCCAGGAATGCCAGTTGGGAAGCACTTAAAGTTATGTTTTACATTAACCTTTATCTAAGCCCTTTTCACACAATTGAGACTAAGGTACTTTCCTGAAAAGAGATATTTTTAATGCGAAAATTAATGAAAATTACATCAGACCTGAGTTCAGAACTCTCCTGTTTTTCTAGGTTTCAGGTGCTGAGGGGAACAAATACAAGAAACAGTGCATAGAGAAAAGCTTTTTCCTTGTTATTCCAAATTTTATTTTTCTTATGCTGAATTTTCGTCTTCCTTCCAGGTTTGACTAGAACCATTTAATTTTAGTTTTTTTGCAAAACCTTCTCACGCTGTCACCATCCCTCTAATACTGTCTCCAGGTGTTTTGCTCAGGTGCCTTTCTGCTTCCCCTGATGCTCCCCAGTCCTCCTTTCTCTCTCTCTCACTCTCTTAGACAAAACTCTCCTGGTGGCTGCTTTTTGAGGCAGTTGAAGCAAATAGGTTTTTTTCATGTTCTGCTTGAATTCTCTCTTTCCTCCAGCACAAGAAATGGCTACCTTGTCTTCTGTTTCCCTTTCTTTTTCTATTTTTCTATTTTTCTATTTTTCTATTTTTTCTAGTCCTTCCCATCTTGCTGACTGCTCTTTGAGTGCCACTTTCAGCAGCTCTGCTTCATCTTCCCCTCCTTTTCTGTTAATATTTCTAACCAAGGCTGTTATCTCCTCCTCCACCTCTGTGCATACTTCTCTGTGGTGTCATTCGTCATGGCGTTCTTTGTCTCACCATCCTTCAGAAGAGTCTCAGATCTCCTTTTCTGCCTCCCAGTTTGCTGTTTATTTCTGCTGTCTGTCCTGCATCCTCACTCCCATTTTTTTTTATCTTGCTTGCAAGGTTTCTTGTTGTTTTGAAGACACGTAGCCCTTGTATATACCAGCAGCATCCGTCAGGTCCTGTGCCATGTGCTATGCCCCAAGGTGGGCAATGGGACATGGGGCTGTCACGTTGCAAAAGCACCCTTATGTCAGAGTGATGTGCTTTTGCAGGATAAAAACCTAGCCTAAATCAAACCCAGGACTGGTGCATTTTTAGGAAGTTATTAACAATGCTTAATTAGAAGGTAATTAGCAAACACTATTTTCGGTGTCGGTAATGCAACACTTACCATTTACAAATCTTAGTAAATTCCTACAAGCTGCTGGCACCACAACACTGAGCTATGAACACACACAGTTGCATGCAGACTCCCCTGCTGACCGTGCACCCATTGGGGAAGACACACTCACGGGAGATCCCCCAGAGCAGTGGGGTCTCTGCAGCCCCCACAGCACCAGCCTGGCTGTGCAAGTTGCCCTCTACAACCTTCTCCCCTCATTATTTCATACACACAAAGCAGAGTAATGCATTAGGGCTGTCAGGCACAGAGGGGAAGGGAGGCAGGCACAAGTCCAGGCTGTGCCCTCTGCCACCCCTGCAACATGGCACAGTCGAAGTTCTCTTCCTTCAGTGGTCACTGCTCTTGTCACAACCTTAAAAAGTGCTTGGAGGTTTTTTTCTGTGAGGATTAGGTGGTGGTGACTAGACATTATTGCACATTAAAATATTCCATGAAATGGTATTATAGTCCCAGGAAAAGTCTTTCCTTGCTTTTTTTTTTCTCCCTGTTCAGCAGTGGTGAGCATTGCTAAAAGTTCAATTAGCGGCCCAGCAGGTAGCAGCACCTATAGATAAGACTGCCTAATGGTTTCCCTTAAGGCCCTGTCTTCTGTAGCTCGAAGTCTGTCTATATGTTAACCATTGAGAATAACATTTTCCATATTGCACGTCTGTCTCAAGCTATTTCTGTGTTTTCTCCTTTTTTTTCCCTTCCTTTAAGAGGAAATTTTCAAGAAGAAAAACTGTTCCACTCTTCCTGAGACTAAGCATAGAGAAAAAAAGTAGCTTTCTCCATGTTGAAAAATTTATTTCAGCTTTTTTGTGTGTGTGTGTGAAACTGTAGAACCTCAGTGTTTTTAATGACATGAACCTCATGCTTGGTTTTGGATCATTGTTCTTTACTTTCAGCAGATATCCTTGAATACTATTGGCAAATCATGTCCCTCTAGCAGCAGATTTTCCCAAATACAATATCCTTAAAAATTGTTTTCTGTAGTTCAGAGAAGTTACTGTATTCATTGAAGAGCCTTTTAGAAGCTCATTCCTGATAATGGTGCACAAAGGGCTGATGCAACTTTGATATTTCTGGGGTTTTGGAATCAAATTTATGGATTCTCATTCTTATGGGTTTTTATGTTTTCAGAAGACACAAACACTTGCAAAATTCAGCAGTCAGAGCATTATAAATTTAAAATTTGCCAACTGAACTTTGTCTTCTGTAATGCGATGGGCTTGGACTATTTTTATGTTATATCTGTATATAGATCTGGCAAAAATACACAGGTTTTGTCTCTTCACAGTTTGCACATTCTGTATTCCTCACTATGGATGTATTAATAAGTAGCAAATGCAGTACCTTTTGCTGCAGATTCTTTGTGATTTAAACCAAGTAGTACCATTAGATTATGTTATCCACTGCCCTTGTTGGTTTTTTTTCTAAGTACAGGCTGTTGTTTCTGCTTTCTATAAAGTTTATTCTGCAAAAGTAAACGCAATTTATAGTACAAAGATAGAAATTAAGAGAACTGTTCCATGTGTTTAAA